TTAAACCCAGGTTGTGTTTGGCCATCCATTGTATACCTCGTCTTGGCAATTAAATTATTCGAAATAGATGTAACAAAGTAACGATTGAATCATGGCAACTGATTAACATACATTGTTAATTATTAAGTAATTGCTTAGTATTAACCTAGAGATTGTAGTTATAGGCTACTATGTGATAGACGATGCCTAACTAACTTTGTAAAACGTTCCAATGGCTTTAATCATGCACAAATTGAGTCACACAAACATTTTGTAGATGTTTTTTTAAATTGACCTTACGAGATTATTCATTGCGGAAGAAAGAAATCGATCCATTTTTTAAATTATGTATTTACATTTGATCGTTATCTAAAGATCATGCAATCTAGATATCTTCGTCTATTATTAGTTCAAGAACACGGCGATGTTAGCGTAACTTTGAAATGAATGCAACGTATTTTAATAAGTAGCTAGAATGATTATAGTCGTTCACACGCAGCTTTGTATATGAAACGTGAGATTCGTATTATATTATTTTGTACGGGGTTGTACCTGAGATTTTTATAGACTGCAGATTTATATTAATAATTACGTAATTTTTGTATTATAACTATCGTTGAGATATACTAAATTAATTGAAACGTACGAATTGTTCGCCTGGACTGTTCGAGAATAACTGTTACAGTTTCATCTCACTCGTCGCTCATGAATATGAGTCTCGGTGTGACTCGAAATTAATCGAGCTTATCTCAAATAGTTCATTTATAATCTGTATATGTCAATTAATTACGTAATTAATAATCTGAGCCCTTGGTACGAGTTTGTTTTAGGTTAAAAGTAATCGAAATGAGACTGCGTTAGGCGCTCTGATTGGCCGGCTCCAATGAACGAACCACAATCAGCGTAAAACAAATTTGTACCGAGGCCTCAGAAAGTCGGATAGTTGACGTAATACAAAGCATCTTTTGAATTTGACGTACGAATATCGACTTTATGCAGAACGACACAATGAGTACTATTGCATTATATGTAAATTGCATATTGAAACCTAATAAGCAACGCATTCCATGATTTTGATAAAGGTGTCATTAAATTAAATTTTGTATTTTTTAAATGTATTCAGCTTGTGATTTGAAATCAAAAAATGTCTGAGAGATATCGTCATAGAATGTTTTAGCATTTGTTACCGCTATGTGTGGAAATACGAAAGTTCATACGAATTATTGCGGTACACGAATTATGCATAGCGGTGCCAGATGACATTTAGAATTCAGATATGCCTCGAAGACTGTCTATATTTTGCAAAGCGAAAGTTGACTCTTTTACGTACAATGTCCAAATGTGGAGTAATCAATTTCACATTAACAGCTTGCGTAATACATAATCCCTTGCTTAAAATAACTCACCAAGCTATTTCGTTTATAAGCTGCAGTACATTGAGCCAATTGCCATTGCATTTAATTAATTGTGTAAATAAATATAAATACACTATGACTACTTATTTTTTAAAATGTTGTATATAAAAGCTTGGTGAAAAGTACATAACAATAATATTATAAAGGTTTATATGATAAACCCCTAGGTAACATTGTATGATATAGGACAATTTTGGATGTAATTTTAGTACTTAATTTATTTTTATGTATGCTCTACTTCCGACGATGCATTCCTACGATTTAAACAATTCAAAATATTCATATGATTAATAAAATTAAATAATAAACTATGTTTATGGATAAACCTGATATTCGTATTTTTCTTTTATCATCCTCATATCCTTAGTATAATGAATATACAAAATATTACTATTTTTTAATATGATAATTGCACTTGGATAATTATCATAATATAATTATAAAAGCAAGATGGTGAATGTAAAATTTATTATCGACTTTATATTCAAAAAACTTAATTGAGGTCATGATCAAATGACAAAATTGGACACCTGTGAGGTGTAGATTCCAAATAATATTAAAACCAAAATAATAATTTGTACCATTTATAACACATTCTTTATTCAAACACAATAAAAAAAAATCAATCACTTATATATACATACTTACAAACATAACAAAAATACAACACAATTTCCAGTCATAGAAATTAGTATTTAAAATAATTTTCTATTCATTTTTGTACACACATTCAACTATATAATTCGATTTCATAGTAAAATCACTTAACACAGCAAAGCAATTCACATTTTCCTCCCAAGATGAAAATTAGTGTTAGACACACGAATTCACGTCGCATCACGTGTATTCAAGCGTATTGTTTAGATAGGAAATTCACCCTTATCGATTTAGGTAATAGGTGTGAATAAAATTGTTCATAATTATTATTCAAACCATATCCACAAACAACCACATAAACTTTTGTTAGAATGTAGTATAGGAATGTGACTGTTTTTACTATAATTCCTTTTACAATTACGCTAAACGATTTTGACTCTTATTGTCTTAACCATGAGTTTGCCATAACAAGCAATAGATTATGCAAATATTTTTTTGTTTTTAATGCCCATACAATAGAACTCAAAATTGTTTAGACAAGTAGTAAATAAGGCTTTTTAATATCTTATTTCATTTAATAAAAATTGTATAATCAAAATCAAAATAGTAATCTAAAATAAATTTATTTTTGACTTATCATTCATAATGAATATTTACAGTTTTTAATGAAATTGCCATTTTGATAATTTAATTCTTTGATAAAATATTGTAGTAACCTTTATAGTTTTTGGCATATTGACACAATTATAATAAAGTTCCAACGGTAGCACCGAAGTTGTGGTTCAATCATATTATCATACTCACAACTAGTACAATCATACTAACATATTTAACGTCACGCCTTTTAATACGAATAAACGAAAATAAATCGACTGCACGGTTGGCGCGGTGGCTGGGCAACCGGCTGCCGTGCAACGTGTCGCGGGTTCGATTCCCGCACGGAACAACACTTTGTGTGATCCACAAATTGTTGTTTCGGGTCTGGGTGTCATTGTGTACGTGAACTTGTATGTTTGTAACGTACCCACGACACAGGAGAAAATCCTAGTGTGGGGCAAAAAAAAAAACCCGAAAAGGGAAAGCAGAGATGCTCATTCTCAAACTCAATAGTAAAATACTGCCCGACACTGGACAGAATTAAAACGGTTACTCAGAACTTTTCGAATACAATCAAAAAACCCAATAATATTTTTCCCAATTTGAAAGTTCAACCCACAGATTCCTTCTTCAGAAAGATTCTGGTATAGTTGCGACCACTCGACCAAACGTCCGACCATGGAAATGAGTTTAATATTCAGAATATAAACTAAAAATCTATTTGTCTACCTACATAAATACAAAATTATATACAGCATTCTAATGTTTCCAGAATGAAAAGGCAGATAATATATAGACAAAGACAAAGTATGTCCTACTAGAAATAGAGATGATAACAACTGGTCAAATTAAATACTTTTATACTATTTTATACATACTAAGAATTGGATACTTGCCAACTAGTCGAATTCAATACTATTTTCGAACTGTCAAAAACGACAGTTTTCTATGAATTTTGTACGAGGCTGTCGTACAAAATTCATAGAAAACTGTCGTTTTTATTGTGACGTCACGTTTTTTTAATAATATATATGCTGGATAAAATTTGCTGGATATATACTAAAATTAAGTTGGTCATTAAATCATTACACAATAACTAACCTAAGTATAAAATTAGGTAAATATCAATTAACCTTTTGAACGCCAGAGCAAAAACGCATGAACTTGCCCTCAACGCCAGGCCACAAATTCACCGCAAATACCTACGAAAAGAATAGGGATTCCAAAACTTCATCGATAATCAATTTTATTTTCATTTTCGTCTTTAATTTCGAAATATAATGTCCTTATAACATTGAAATTTAATTCAACATTACATTTCTTCCTATTAAAGTAATAGTTATACACTATTTACAGACTTGTATAATACCGTAATAACAGATATGAGACTACAATATATTTAAATATAATAACTGTAGGTACAACACTGCTGTCTTCATATTGTGACCATGGCGTGGACGGCCCGCCATTTTAATAACTACTTCGCTTCCGAAATAAGGATGTGGCAACGTAATATCTCGTTTATCGATGTTCTAGTACAATATTATTTTATAATAAATGAAACACGTTTTTTAAATCAGATTTATAATTCCGAATGTAACAGGTACTTAAAAATATATGATTGAAATAGGTTAAGAAGGTAAATAAAAACTATGAAAAAATAGAAAATTTTAATAAAATGTTATACAGTATGTACTATGTATACATGTTTTTAAATATTAAGTTCTATAAACCTGGCATAAAAAGTAACAAATTAAAACAATTAACGATTATATATAATTATCACAATTACCAATCAGTCTTATACTAATAAATCTTTTGAATAATAGAGCAAAATTATACAAAATCTACAATGCAACCTGCATTCTGAACTCTGAACTCGATATCACAAGTAAATTAATCATAAATATTATTCATTCACTTCACTAATTTCTGGTCGCCGCGCTTGTGACGTCACGATATTGTCGTCTAGTCGTGACCATGGCGTACAGGGTACTGATAATTCGGGTTGCGTTAGGGATGCGCTCGAGTTGGGATTAGTGAATATCGAAATTCGACCCAACCAAATTTTATTTTTGACTATGTAGCTTATTGAATGATTTTTAAGACTGGTTTTATAAAATTAATGCTGCTTTATCCTAGTACCAAATTATACCTAAAATAATATATTCCAGAGGAAAGTTTCGCATCGATCTTTGATTTAAAATAATGATATTATCCAACATGCGCTACATCACTAGCGGTCACGCATTTATGACTCTGGCGTGTGAGGACATTCTTTTTTCAGAGTTTATTTCTTTCTTTTTAACGTAAAATTTCTCAATATTTATAATGCAATTTAATTAGTTTTATGGAAATAAATAAATTTTGGACCTTCTATTTTACAGGTATATAAATAAATAGGCATTAAAGTAATGTTTAAATAGTTTATTTCGTGTTTTATTGTACCGCTGTTTTTGTCACATATTTGTGTCGTTGGCGCTCAGGGACAGTTTTCGCTTGTCACGTATTTGTGACAATGGCGCTCAAAAGGTTAATGGGGATATCATTATTTTTAGAAGAAAAAAAAATGTATTATGTGACAAATAAACTTTATATTAGTTAGACAAAGTCATCATCCCTAATAGGAGCATTTTTTATATCCTACGAATTCCCTTACATCTCTTTCCCTTACATTCATTGGAATTGCAATTTGGTATACTGATGACAAGTAATGACTTATCAAACTATCTTAATTAATCTATTAGCACTTTCGAATTAACGATAATTATGGCGTTGTACAATGCGGTTATAAGTCACTGTTCAATATGAACCTGTTACCCTCCGAATGCTTGCCTGTGTACTTGTAACTGCATTTACCGTAGGCACCTGCAAAAAATATATCAGATATAAATAAATTGTCATTCATTTTAACTAGAGACTGACGTGGTTTCATGCGCTGTTTGGCTGCTATTAATTTTAGGGCTAATAATTAAATTTAGAAAAACGTAATTTTTTTATATTTTTCCCAACTCTAAAAGTACTATTCAATTTGTACCTGTACTTCCGTAGGTTAGCGTGTTCAGACACAAATACTTCAGCTTTTTACACACACAACATCACGCCTTTAATTCTCGACGGGGGTAGGCAGAGGTGCACATTAGGCCAGTTAATGCCACTGTACAATGTAACACCCACTTTTCACTATTTATGTTATAAGTCCCATGTAATATGGGGTGAGCCTTCAGCTTTTTATTATATTATATATAGTATTAATAATAATATAAATGTAGATATTAAATTTAATTAATACAAATGTTGAAATGTCTGATTTCAATATTAATTTCAATACAAGAGACACAAGTTTGTATTTGTCCTCATTTGTATAAATAACGAATAATGAGGTCTAATGGTAAGTTTAGTCTAATGTAATAAATGTCGTTATTTACACGAACATTTACTAATAATACGTACGGTATAATTAATTTAATCAACAAACGAACCTGTTTCGTAGCGCTTTTGATAAATATAATTAAAATGAGTGTTTGAAATCTAGTTTGGACATTATAGTACTTAATTAATATAATTATTATTATTAACTGTGTGTGAACAAGGCTGTGAGTGGGTAATTGATAGTTGTGCAATATATTTATTACTAGCTTCTGCCAGCGGCTTCGCCCGCGTTCCCAGGGTTTAAAAGTACCTAGCCTATGTGTTACTCCAGATCATAATCAACCTCTGTTCCACATCCCGGTCCCTTCAGCCGTTTTGATGTGACTGAGTAACAAACATTCATACAAACTCACATATTTTCACATTTATAACATCGGTTTAAGCTAATTTCGACATTCGACCTTATAGTTACAGCCAAAAGTCCACTGCGTGCGGGCAATATAACATTTGACAAACTTATATTTGCGTTTGGTACAATAACTGTGTCTAGGGATTGAGCCGCACAATTAAGTTAGTTTTTTCGTGTATATAGTTTTTTGGGGATAAAAAGTACCCAGGATATTAATTAAAGACACTCTTAATTTTGATGACCATACAATTTTATAATCTATTTTTTTTACAATTAACTCCATTATGGATATCAAACAAAAAGGAACTGTTTGTGTGATTCACAGATTATTGTTTCGGGTCTGGGTGTCATGTGTATGTGATATTGTATGTTTGTAAACGCACCCACGACACAGGAGAAAATCCCAGTGTGGGGCAACGTTTTAAAAAAAAAGGTAATATCATACCTCTATGTTTGCCTAACGAACCTAAGTCCAAAGGCAAGGGTCGCAATGCAGGTTTAGGTTGCAACGAAGAAGGCGTGAATGGAGTAGTGTACTCATGTGTCGGCGGCCGCCTCACGCGCATAAACTCGCCGCGCGTCGCTGCCTCCTTCCTCTCCGCTGACGACACCCGACGGGAATCCAGAAACCGCAAGTTCGGTAGCATGTATATTACGAAATATCTGCAACAATATGAATTTGCATGAATCAGGGCTGTCCAAACTCCTCCAGACCCTCGCGGGCTAATTTAACAAAAGCTGGAGGGCCAGAACAATATTTTCAGTTGTATAACGACGTTTATTATTTATACATTGTATTCTTTACTCACAGACAAAACTTGCATACAAATCATACACTGAATTTTATTATCATTTCATTGTAATAACTGACCAAAAGTATTATTAAGGCTTTGACTGCCGACAGAAAACTGTTAAAGGTAAATCCTCCGCTAGCGTGGCCCATACGTCGTCCCCCATGGCGTTCAAGGTGTTAATTATTTACTATTACACTTCAACCATGAAAATCTTGATAATTCTGCACGATCCGTCAACAAAGTAAAAACAATAGTCCTGCCAATGTATAGGAGTGGATGTGCCGTTTTCATTCACATAATCACATACATCGGCAAAGTGATTCATAGGTGTTGATGAATAATTTATTAAGATTTTTTGGATCGGTAGTATTGAGATAAGGTTAGAATAAATTTGCGTATATTTATTACCTCATCTATCTGGCTATTTCATAATTTTATTAATGTGACGAACAGATTTAGGTATGTACGTCTCGTATTTTACAACTGACTAGTGACTTATTGGTCAAGTGGTACCTACTGTGGAGCAAAGAGATTTGAAATTCCCAGGCCGAAAAGTACCTACCTACTTATTATTGGTTTATTTCAGTACCTAATAGTAAAGAGACTAAAGAAGTGAATTGAGTCCCGATGGGAAATTGTTCAAAGCAAATCCAATTCTACAGAGGTCCATATTTATGGTATTCCCCATATGGAGTTCAATGTGTTACTTGTCCGTGCCCTTACTTGTAGGCACTGTCAAATAGGGTTGCCACCCGTACTTTATAATAAAGTATTGTACGTTATTTAAACTTCATTTCTATTAAAGTCGTAAGTATTTTTCGGTAAACTTATTGATCCGATATCGATATTTATCGATTTATGTTGAATCGATTTACTACTCGCCAGCGCCACTTAGATAATTTCTAGTAAAGATACAATTATTTAGTATTTCAATGCAATTGTTTAGTAAAGATACTAATTTAATACAAACTGCAAAAAGTAATAAACATATATTTTTAAATACAATACTAATAAATTGTACTATATTTTTGTACTGTGTACTTTTTTTTTCTTATCTATAATCGTCAATGTACTTTAAATACCAAAAAAAGGTGGCAACCCTACTGTCAAAGATATATATAGATATATAAAGATATTTATGATAGAAGGGTAAATAGCTTAGGGGATTCTTACAATTAAATAGACGTTGGTGAAAATGATCATGGATCACCCTCCTAATTCGATGATTATCTTACCTGTATCTTTGGTAGTCTGAATCGTCTTTGTCAACATCTGACAGTTGGTTAGGACACGCCTTGTTGCTCAGTAGGCTCAAGTAGGTCAGCGCTGGGAAGTGTTTGCTTATCTTGTTTACTAGCTCTTCTAGATCCATTATCTGTAATTGATTAATAGGAAAGTGCTATGTACTATTGTACTACAGTATTAAATAGAAAAAAACATCAACTGCACTTGACAGTATCCTACTGAATTATTAAAATTACCCTGTCAAATGTGTTGTCCTCTAACAACATCCTTCGTCGGCTCTTACGACAAGTACTCTTAACAAGACTACGGGTGGTGATAATCAAGGAGACACCTGTCTACCTAGGGATGTGCCGTGACAGGCGTTGCAACGTAGGGCCTCCGGAGCAGGTCTCTTTTAGAGGATCCGGTGCCCCTTACAGGTGCTGAAGGTAGCCACCAGAGTGGTTTTAGTGAGGTAAAAATTCCACACTCGCTAGTTTTTCTCCCCAAAAAACTAGGTGCCTTTTGAAGGTTTCCCCGTCATTAAAAAAAGAGGATGGTGATAAAGTATTCTACTCTTTGGTCATGACACAACAGATGTTACATTGTAGTAAGTTCGTACCTCATTATTGTTGAGCGACAGAGTCTTTAAATTGGATAAGTACGGGAACGATACAGCGTCTCCCAGCTTATTGTTGTCTAATATAAGTTCCTCCAATCGACTGAACTGTTCCAATCCTTTTAATGTCTCGATACAATTGTAACTGCAACCAGACAAGACAAACCATTTAAGAATAATGATCAAGTCAGGCAAACAAAGAGAAAGGCAGGAGCAGGAGAAGGAGGAGAAGGGGCCTGGCGTGGCGTTTCGTTAAGCCGGGCTGGCGTAGGGCGTGTCGCGAACGCAGTGCGAAAGTACAGTTCTCGTGGCTGTGGCTCGCCCTCATGCGCGAGTGGCACAACTCGGGGTTTTTCGTGGGTTCGAGCCCCACATAACCCGGCCTCGGCCCCGCGAGGCCGGGCATGCACGGCATTTTCCCCGGGCGAAAAAAAAGGAGTATTCGTACTCCTTTTTTTTGAGGTTGCTTTTTGTCAGTAAGAATTTCTCCAGAGCAACTCTTACATCACTTGTTACTACTGTTTTAGTTAAGTAAATAATATGTGCGTTGTGAGAATCTTGAAGATAAGAAAACATTTACTTTGTTGCACGTTCTTAGTCTGTATCTGCCACTCAATGTCTATATTATTTTGTAGATAACTGATTATGTAAGAAAGTAGTAAATTCTGCGTTAACAGCAAAGAAAAATTAGGTACCTATTAATTATAAAGTTTAAGGTATATTGCTTAGTCTATAAAAATTCTAGACTTGTAAACTTTTCAAAAGGCAGTACCCTAAAGTAGGTAACCGTGTTCGTGCCTAAAGAAGTAGGTTTGTACTTGACTAATAAATAAAAATTGGCAATACTTGGGTAGCACTTATGCAGTTAATTTCTATTAGCAGATAGCAGAACTGGAGAATTTTGCTAAGTTTCAAGGTAATTCTTATAAAGATAAATACAGTATAGGTACATATTGGAAAAAGAAAAACAGCGGCTGTCGAGTCTGCTAATATTTAATTGCCTACATAAGAATTTATTTATTTTCTGCCTATGTGTACATACAATACATTATCATCTTATTAATGTTTACTGTATGAATTGCGGTATTAATTGATGTTATAATTTGCAAACAAGTAATAAAATAAGATAAAACATACACTCCGCTACAACTTATATTAATGTAATTATTAAAATAAATCTAAACTAACATAATAAAGCTGTCTTCACATCTTATCTGTTTTATCTTGCAACACATTAATCTTTGGAAGTTAAAAAAGAATCTCAGTAGTTGCACGGAGTCTAGAATTGTGCCCGGTATATGGCAATAAGCTCACCCCCTATTACATGGGACTCATAACATAAATAGTGAAAAGTGTGAGTTACATTGTACAGTGGCATTAAGTGCCGTAATGTGCACCTCTGCCTACCCCTTCGGTGATAAAATATGTGATGTTATGTGTGTATATGTTACTAGGTAGTTTTTAGTAAGAGTCTGACACTGCCTCTCGCCTCACCCGGGCGGGAGAAGTCGTTGGATCATTTACCCCAACCAAAAAAAAAAATTATAAATAAAAAGTAGCCGGTCTGATGATGTGTTTTTGCTTAATCTTCAAGGGAACAAACCCCCTCTTTTTTACCGTTAATGAATTTTCTCTTTTCAAAACCCCTCCTATGAGTGAGAAACTCGTATATTTGACATCCGTACCGAATATGATCATCCGACAATGTGGCATTTAGAAACAGATTCGAGTAGGCGCGTAAAATCGCACGGAAGTGCTAGTATAATGTATGGCTTAAAAACCTGTTTTAAGTACATTTGAACGCTTTGTACCTATAGATATCCTTAAAATAATAACAATAGGCATCGTTAATAAATAAATAATGTTTCACAGGTCTTTTACCTATATGGGCTATATGTACCGTTCATTACCTACATGTGTAATGATCCCAAAAAGAAAAGATTTCGATACTATTTTTTGTGGAATGATATTAGTTAGCATGGTGTTGCACCTGTTTCTAAACGAGTCTCAATTTTCGTTTACCACAACATTTACACATTTTTTCAAATTGGAACAAATAAGCATTACTTTACAATATTACTAATATCTACAAATAACGAACTTATCGTGTGTTACGAAGGTTCATTGTCTTTTTACCCGTTTTGTATCTTTGTGTACTTAACAAAACTTACGTACCTTAGGTCTAAACATTTTACTTTGGTTCCGTACATCTTCTGTAAAGCTGGAGGTATTTTTCTGCAGTCTTGTCCACAATAACTTAACTGGAACAATAAAGAAATCGTGATTAACAATGATTATTATTTAATATATAAATAAATAATATCTTGCATAAACATAAAATACGTTATTTGCTCTTTAGCATCAGCCAAAAATGGACGAGCTTGTACTTTAGTGCCAGTCGGAAGACGTCTATTGCTGAGAAAAGCTACAACTTGCTATAAGGTATGCGATATATGGAGCGCATTTAGGTCGCCGAAAATCTCCTCTGAATCTTAGACTCTAATACTAGCTTGATTTTTTTATAGAATGAATGCTTAATCTAAACATTTATTCTTTCAGATACATAAGAGAATTAAACGTTTGCTAGATATTTATGAAGTCATTGACGCAAGTTGTGTCCGATAGAGCATTAATCCGACCCGTTGTCCGTTTGGAGGTGAGTGAGGTGACACTAAATTGTGAAGGATTTTTATTTAAATAAAATTCTGCATAGCATCGCCTCGTCTCAAATACTTTTGAATAAGTATTAATTTGTATTTTTTTTTGCTGGAAATGAAGTGACGCGACAAAGTACTAACGTAATCGACATAGCCCAAAGTAATAAAATAGTAGTAAACTAAAGTGATAGGAGACCGCTATCACTGACCAAAGAACCTATTAGGGTAGACGTATTCTTGAGCTGAGACCACGTCTAGGGCGCAGTGCCTTCCAGGAAGGTGGAGTGACGATTTCCTTAAAGTAGCTGGCAGTGGTTGAATCAGAAGAGCTGAAGATGAAACTCTAAGATATCTATATAGCCTACTGATGATGAGGTGGAACAAAGGAATAGCCTGAATAGAATTCTATATTGAATATTGATAACTAATGGCGCCAACCTATACACTACTTCAGCAATCGAGTTTTGGCCACGAGCCACATGACATTGCAAAACAAAAGATTTCAGAAAAAGAACTCGGTCACAGTTCAAAATGTTATGAATTTTGGCTTCTTTAAAAATTAATCCCCTACTACAAATAACCTGATAAAGCATTGTTATCTTACAACAATATACGGCTCCGTTGTTTTTCAACCCAATTAACTGCTGCGTCTAATCACTTTGTCTCTTTCATTCAGATATTTTATTACGAGAACCAAATTTCATTATACATATTACAGTATACAGATATTATCCATGTAATAAGTCTAGTCTAGTATTTGTTTGATAAATAATATACAGATAATGATTAATAACAACGGTAGAACAAGGATAATTTATCAATTCCAGTGTTTATTCTTAGAAAACAGTGATAAATGTTGCTTGCAATGGACGATGGTAAATATGGAGGTAGGTAATATTGTTTGTGTAAAGAACATATTTATAAGTAAACCGAACTGAATAAAGATAGGTACTCAACTAAATGAGAATATTTTACTAAGCCTAAAACTAGTAATGCATTCTGGTTGCAGGTTGCAGGAGACTCCTGCCAACCGGCCGATCTGGAAGCATCTAATAAGGTATCGGGGGATTTTATTTTTGAGGGGAAAATCATACAATGACTTGGGGAGGCGAGAGGAAGTGTCAGAAGGTTACTGACTCAAAACCTAATTTAGTTAGTTCCTACTTCTGCTCCTCGAGCCGGACCCTCCGGCAACCCGGTATAGACCTTTGTGGCTTCGTATCGGCATCAGCCCTATTGGACCAACACCCATGACGATAAATAGTAATTTTTTATGTATATTTTTATTTATTTATGTAAAAGTACTTGTAAAAATTTTATTTGTAAAAAAAGAAACAATCATTCGGATATTGTGCCTCCTCCTGCTTTTGAAGTCGGTAAAAACAAACACGCGTTAGCCCTGAATAATAAATCCCGAGCTGCTAACATCGTTTTCGTGTTCGCAACTAGGGATCGGCCTACCCGCGTCTCGCTCTTCACACCCGCCACGATTGCCCTGTCTAGACGTCTTCGTTGGACGACTGTATAGACTGTGGTAATATGTAGTAAGTCTACTATTACTATCCTAGCCTAATAACTACCTAACAATAGGTAACTATGAAATGTTCTGAGTTTTTCATTCATACTTAAGTCGAGTCTTCAACATTAAATTAAATGACTTTTAATGAATGATACATAAAGTATTTCTATACAATATGTTAATAATACAGGCTTGGTATTTAAATCTATATACCATACTAAACTTGGTTAGCTAATAGCTAAAAATATCGTTTGAAAGACCGACTCAGTACGCGACGGCCATGGCATAACTAATCGAGTAGAAAACCGGTTCAAACTGATTTTTTCCAAAATAGTTTAAGCGGCCATACTGATAAAAACTAACTTAATTTTTTGTTAGGACCCCTGACCACTGATGGTAATTACACAATAAAATTATAGTATAATACATAGATCTAAGCGAGACACAATGCGTTTTCTATTGTGTCTTAAATACCGACATACAAGACGTTAACAGCAGAAGACATGATATAACTATTCTATACAATAATACAACAGTTTTTTAAACGTACAAATAACTTGGTCTACGGTAAAAGGGACCAGATAGTTACAAGATTATATTTTAGTAGTACCTAAGTACTTATTTTGGATGAGGCTTTTCAGCAGTGGACGTCGTGTATTTTTTTAAACCTGGTTTACTTACGAGTTAATCATCTATTAGCCTTTAGTATTACCCATAGAAATTCGAAATCTATACAAACAAACAGAGACGTATAAATCCCGTCATTCCTAATTGCGATAAAATAGTTATTTTATAGATATAGTTTGGGTTCTTCTGTGACTTCTAAGAAAAATTGGTAATGATGGCACGACTTTATAATGTTAAGTTGCTGTAAGAAGGCATAACTTAACCATGAGTAACGTCGCGGAGAACCTAACGGGTAACCGGGGCTCCGGCTCGACGTGCAGGAGAAGGAACGGGGTGGTTTTTAGTCAGTAAGAGTCTGACACTCCCTCCCGCCTCACCCAGGCGGGAGCAGTCATTCGATTATTTTCCCCCCTTAAAAAAAAACCATGAGTAACCACTTCAAATGTAGGTAAAACAAGTAATTAGTTTGTCTCAAAACCCACTAAAAGCTTCAAGTGTGTCGTAAAAAATTTACATCGTGAACCAAAGAAGGTGAAGTTTCACATCGGGAAGAGGTTTACGGTTGTGTCACTTACCAGTTTTATTTGTAGTATTGTGCGAGACTTGCTTTATCTTTACTGCGGGACCGCGGGTCATTTTATTAGCATCATAACAATCTATTTATTGCGGACTACATAACAATGCCCGCACCAACCGTACACTGTATTACCGTTACAATATTACGACCCCTCAGATCAAGTTATATCATACATCCCGGTTTATATTTTCTCGTATGCCTGTATTTTTATTCAAATGAGGTATTTGGTCATATTTTTTCGTGCAGATTATGATTTTATCGTACCAAATCTTACATACTTACCGACTTAATTATTTTAAGAACATTTCATACGCTGATTTGTCTTTATTTTGGTAATATTAATGAATGAGTTCTTTGTTTATTTTGGATCTTTTCTAGTGTAAGTAATGTTTATAAAAATGCAGTTCGACCGGTTGGCTCTGCCGTCTAGTAGCGTAGGTCGGTTATCGTTCTTGTTTCATATCAAGGTGAGGTCAACGTGGATGCGTGCTTTGTGAGAAAGTTACGTAGACACAGATAGAGTTAGTGATGTGGTCAAGTAAACTAATTGTGGTTGTTCTTCGAAATTCTTCAGAGCAGACAACCCTATTTGAATTGGTTTAAAAACTAAAATACCCATGAAGTTTGTAATTAGAGAGCACTTAATTTAAACAAATATTGTAGGTGTCTACGATAAATAGGAGAAGATACTCTTGCAAAGGTCTATTAAAGAGATTTATAGGTCATTGATAAAACTTATGGATTAATTTTAACTAACTACATAAAACCCAGACAGATGGATGGTAAACAGCCTAGTCAAACTTATAAAGCAAAAGCACTAATTTACAGCAAATTTAATAAGGCCTAACTTCATTGTCTAGCTTTGAGAACTCTAGTCTAACAGTGTTGGTGTCGCAGAGTTTGTTATTATTTAAGCAGGCGAATGTAAAATGTAACTACTAAGTGTAAATTGATATGATGTATTTATGAGATTTTCTTTTTCTTCTCTTCTTATTATGTACCTACATAAATATTAGGTACTAGCGACCCGCCCCGGCTTCGCACGGGTGCAATATGCATGTATTATCCTTAAGAATCACTCTATCTATTAAAAAAAACCGCATCAAAATCCGTTGCGTAGTTTTAAAGATCTAAGCATACATACGGACATACAGCGAAAGCGACTTTGTTTTATACTATGTATTGAAGTGCCTGTTGCATATTTGTTTTAAGCTGTTTACACTACAGAGAAGTACACTTTTTTAGACAACATCGTTGGCGCGACTGTGTGTGGTTTGTGTGTGTAAAAGTGTATTAAAACGATGGTGCACGCTCACCTGAACATTTTCCTTCTCGATTATCACACTAACATGAGAAATCTGTTCAACTCTCTTACAGTCTGGAAGAACATACTTCTCAACCGTTAATAACTGTATTTTATACTTCAACTGAGAGTTAACCGCCTTCTTCGCATCATCAGCCCGTCTCCACCAAGTAAACACCCTGCCATACTTAGTCACAACTACTATCAATTTATAGATAGCTAAAGGAAACAAACACGTTTCGAAGAATGTTATAAGAATGGCGCCGGCGTTAAGCACATCACTAAAGTTTTCAGACAGTTTTTTAGTCACAGACTCAACGTACGTCGACATTTTACGTTTTTTGTTGAAACTTCACTACATTTTCACTGATTTTAATATTTTTATAATTGAAGAATGTCTCCGTAAATGCGTCCATGGGTATTTTATAAAATATGCCCTTCGCTGTTTAGATAAGCTGATTAAATGGCAATTATTTATAACTGAAAACACTTGTCATAATGTTAGGTAGTAGATAAAGTAATTATCTAATAGATATTCCTATTTGTTAGTGTACAAGTGAAAGATTAGAAAAATAATGTGTTGCAGTTTCTTTGTAGCAACCTATTTATGGGAGTTTGTACCTATAATTTAATTAAGTATCTGTGCACACAATGTTGCATGTAGGCATGCATGAGTAAGAAGTTCTTAACATGATTCCAGTAAGTATGTCACGTTTGTAGGCTAGGTCTATGGATTGTGTGGTAAATGTGAATAATAGGCTTATAATCCTTTGAGGAATTGTGTTAATTTTTGTGTACAATTTTTTTTTTTAAATAAATGTTGCCCCACACTAGGATTGTCTCCTGTGTCGTGGGTGCGTTTACAAACATACAAGTTCACATACACAATATGACACCCAGACCCGAAACAACAATTTATGGATCACACAAAGTGTTGTTCCGTGCGGGAATCGAACCCGCGACATGTTGCACGGCAGCCGGTTGCCCAGCCACCGCACCAACCGTGCAGCCAATTAAGTACAATATCTAGTTTCTTTCTTCTTTCTTTTAGTATATGGGTCTTTAGTAAGTTTTTTTGTTTGATAAAATAATTTGATCGGGTAAGTTCCTTTGGTGCTGTGTCCTATGAACGTAATTTGGGGAATATAATTCGGCTACCTACATACTACCTAATAACTGAGATACTCATTTTTCACTATTAGTTAGTATACCTACTGACTACACATAAAAATAATTATATAAACTAAGTTTAAAAATATGTTATGAAGTCGCTAAAATAATATACTGAAAACCTTATCCTAAGTGTTAAAAACGCTTTTCAGAAAACCACATAAAAATCAGTTCGGCAGATCAAGAGATAATTGCATACAAACAGACATACATATACATAACTATCTTTTTCTTTGTGGTTAATGAGCACCTGCTCAATAAACTGTCAAACACCAAGTGGTCACCGGTGACCGCAACCTATTGTTCTATAATTGTGTCTACAAAACCGGTACTCGACGAGTTAACCAACTACGATTATGATATACCTATGTAGGTAGTTAAACTGTCAAACACCAAGCGGTCACCGGTGACCGCAACCTATTGTTCTATAATTGTGTCTATAATGACGGTACTCAACGAGTTAACCAAACATTTTAAATGTCGAAGCCTCTTGCCAAGCTGGAAGTTTATGTCAAACCTTCCCATGTAAAGGAGTTCCACAGTCTTATTCATTGTATAATGGTATTGTTGCACCACTACACATTATCGTCCAGCTGTAAGACATCCACTGCTAAAAATAAGCCTCATTCAAATTCTTTTCAAAATTATATGTAATATAATACGAAAATTCGATCTCGGAAACGGCTACATCAATTTTTTTTTAATTTTGTGTACAGGAGTTTCAGGGACGATAAATCAATGGGCATTTAAATAGCTTAGTTGGTAATCGGGTGCCTTCCAGCTTCCAGCGGAAGGGTGGTGCTGCATACTGCATGATACAAATTCATTTTTTCAGCGGAATAAAAACTACTTTAATATTTTTTCAGTTGTTAATTTACATTAATAATTTTATTTTTAAGGCAAATTAGGCACGCAAATTATCTACACGAATTCAAAAGAACCACAGTTGCTAGATAAGTATCTATATTATTTAATACTCATAAGTAGGTACATGAAATAGGTACCAATTAACTAAACATTAAATAGTTACAAGAGAAGACAGTAACCTACTTACTTTACTAACAGGCAATTAATATTTCACTGACACAATTAAAAATAAAATTGTTTAACAATGTTGTACTGCTTTATTCTTTTAACTTTTTTATTGAATAAGCAAGCCGAACACACAAGCAATCAAGTAAGTAAATGCTTATTACTTTCATAAATAAAATACTAAAAAAGTACGTAAATATCGTTAAAAACAAAGTCCAAACAAAGATACTCATTTTATAAAGATAAGTTTCTTAGCAATATAGATTTATTCTCATTACTTAGATAGCAAACTTACTTGGCCATTATCAAAATTCAACGCCGTATTATTCACATGGTTTTCCTCCATATTTACACACTGTGTATATTAAACACTTATTATAAATTAATTGGCACTACAACACAGACCACTAGCCACCACTACTACTGATTACAATCAATTATATTAATGAATGACATTATACAGACTGCCTCAAGCAAATTAAAATAACTTTGTTTACCCGATGTTTTGACAGTTAATCGACATTGACATTTCTGCTGATGTGACAGTTTACAATCGCAAGAAGTTATTAGTCGAGTTTCTGAGAAAATCGTCTAAATATAATTATCTACAACTATAAAGAATTTAGTCCATAAAAACCACTGATATGATTGTCATATATCTATGTCATAAACCGACACAAGGCCTTCATTAAAAATTATATAAAATAAGGACGTTGAAGATTTTAACGTTCTTAATACAAAGTTCATTTATTTACTCATTTATGTATTACTCTCTAACATTGCAATTACAATCAAAAGAACGGGCGAAAATAGGGTAGTACGTTCTTTCAAATGTGAAACCAAGTACCTATGTCAAAAAAGTCTTTTATCTCTTTTCAAATAAAAAAGTTTATTTTCATCGTCCTTATGAGCAACTACTAGGGAGGAAATTAAAAAACTGATAAACATTTAATAATTCATCATTTATTTTAGTAATTGCAAAACAGAGTAGAACTTAATTAATAAATAAATTATTATAACGCATTAATGCCTAGACCATACTTCAACACTTTGTAACAATGATATAACAAGTAGAATGATTTAAAATATAAAATATCATTGTTTGTTTATTTATTTAGAATTATTAGGAACGTCAATTTTCATAGCTTCAAACTTTTTTAGGTAAGGCCGTGGCGACCGTCTTCACTTCGGTGTAAGCTAGTAATGAATCCAATCCACTGAAAATAATTAAAAATCCATATTTAGACAAAAAAGAAATAGAAATTTGAAACTATTCAATAATTTTATTCATTATCAATAGGTAATGCGTGACAGTTTACTTCTGGACGATAGACTGGGGGCATGGGAGATAATGGAAAACCTTAATGAATCGCGTCATTGGCAATGGGAGACCGCTGGGACGATTTATTATGTATGAATCTATTATGGAGTTCGAGAACGCAGTTTAACAATTTCAGGTATAATAAGAGATTTCAGAGAATGCCACACTGTCAGCAATACTGTCTACGTACTGACAGTCACAATTATCGTATATTGATAGAATAATTATTACGTCTAATTAATACTCACTTCTCACGACCAATTCCAGACTGCTTGAATCCTCCGAACGGCAGTTGTGGTCCGAAATGTAAATATGTGTTGACCCTGTAAAAATAAGATTAATTTAGTCATTTCTTAAACATTACACGTGCACCTAGTAGTCAATTCTGAAGAATTAGGCACAGTGGCGTAACTATAGGTACTGACCGAGGCCTGTGGCAAAATCGGATGGGTCTCCTGTGCTTATTAAAACAGAGAAGTTCAGGTGAGAGCTTCTTCGAACTGGGGCCTGTGGCATTTTGGGGACTTGCCACCATGTAGTTACGCCACTAAACAGGCAGATAAATATTGCACAAAAACTATTGCAAGTGTATTCTTACCAAACAATTCCAGCTTCAACGTGTTTGGAGAACTGTAGAGCATTGTTAAGATTGGATGTGAAAATTCCAGCTGCTAGTCCATAGTTTGTAGCGTTAGCTCGGTCAATAGCCTCGTCTAAAGTGTCAAACTTTAGAATACTTTGTACTGGGCCAAAGATCTGAAATTAAATGCAGGTTCACAATTAGAGTAAGTACGATAAAATTAAAACTAGGTATTAATAATTACTACATCGATTGATATTTCAAATAAGTACCTCCTCCTTGGCGATGGTCATATCATCAGTGACGTTACCGAAGACAGCGGGCTGGATATAGTAACCAGAGGTACCGATTCTGTGACCGCCACATAGCAACTTCGCACCTTCTTGTTTTCCGCTCTCGATGTATCCCAAAACTTTGTTCATCATTTCCTTGTCAATCTACGAAATTAGAGTTTCGTGAAAATCAATGACATTTACTACAACTCATGTTGTGATGAGCGTTTTCCTTTTTGTGATCATTAATTGCTCGTCAAGGTATTAATTCTCATTAGCTTACCTGAGGTCCGTTCTGTGAGGTGGGATCAGTTGGGTCTCCAACTTTAATGCTTTGTGCGTACTTGACAGCAGCTTCGACGAATTTGTCGTAAATGCCAGATTGTACAAATAATCGGGAAGCTGCTATACACATTTGTCCTTGAAGGAAGAATACTGAGTTACCGGCATAACGAACAGCAATGTCCACTGAAAATAAATTATAGTAACAAAAATAAAGCCATGCATATTTTGGATTAAGAACTTCGTAATTGAAAAATTAAAACCTACAATCAGCGTCGTTCATTATGATTAGAGGGCTCTTTCCACCGAGTTCGAGAGTGACTCTCTTCAAGTTACTATTACCAGACGCCTGCTGGATCAGTTTTCCGACCTATGGACAAAAATGTTATTATTGCCATTACTTTAAGTAGACGAGTCACGAGTCCTAATATTTGTCTTTATTTTTTGTTGGACTTACCTCGCGAGAGCCAGTGAAAGACACCTTGGCGACATCACTGTGGTGAGTGAGGCTGGTACCAGCACCAGGTCCGAAACCATTGACAACGTTTACCACTCCCTTGGGGACACCAGCTTCAGCTAGAAGTGCCGCAAGCACAAGTGCCGTAAGTGGAGTTTGTTCTGCTGGCTTCACCACCATGGTACAACCTGAAAAGAAAATATATAAAAAACAATCCACGTAAGCTCTCGGTATTTAATAATAATAAACGAATGAGCCTCACCTGCTGCAAGAGCTGTGCAAACTTTGCTAAGGAACATAGAAATTGGAGCATTCCAT